TTTGTGTATGCTGAGGCCTACTGATGCAGAGACTGCTGCTACACTGGCTGTCTTCATCTGCATCTGTTCGTGTGTACGTGATAGGAGGGCTAGGTCGTCTGCGAAGTCCAAATCGTCTAATTGATTCTGAGTTGTCCATTGTATTCCGTGTTTTCCTTCAGATGTCGAGGTCTTCATAATCCAGTCGACCACCAGAAGAAAGAGGAAGGGAGAGAGTAAACAGCCTTGTCTGACTCCAGTCCTTACTTGGAATGCATCTGTCAGCTGTCCTCCATGCACTACTTTGCACTGTAGTCCGTCGTATGAGTTCCGGATAATGTTGACAATCTTCTCAGGAACTCCGTAGTGTCGAAGAAGTTTCCATAATGTCCTCCTATCTACACTGTCGAATGCCTTTTCATAATCAATGAAGTTGATGTATAGTGATGAGTTCCACTCACTGATTGTTCGACGATGATCCGTAGTGTTGCAATTTGGTCTGTGCACGACCGATCCTTACGGAATCCAGCTTGTTGATCTCGAAGTTGGGCGTCTACTGCATCCTTCATCCGGTTCAGCAACACTCTGTTGAAGACTTTCCCTGGTATTGACAGTAGTGTAATGCCTCTGTAGTTTTCACATTTGCTCAGATCTCCTTTCTTTGGAATCTTGACGAGGTGTCCTTCTTTCCAGTCCATCGGCACTTGTTCCTCCTCCCAAATCTTTTTGAATAGAAGGTAAAGCATGCTTGTGGTTGCTTCGATGTCTGATTTCAGTGCTTCAGCTGGTATGTTGTCGGGTCCTGCTGCTTTCCCGTTCTTGATTTGTCTGACGGCCATTCTAATTTCTTCCGTCGTTGGTGGGTTGACATCTATAGGAAGATCTATGTGTGCTGCTTCGATGTCCGGTGGATTCATTGGAGCCGGCCTATTCAGGAGTTCCTCGAAGTATTCCACCCATCTGTTACGCTGTTGTTGAATTTCGGTGATTGGCTTGCCTTCTTTGTCTTTGACCGGCCTCTCTGGTTTACTGTATTTCCCTGCTAGTTTCTTCGTTGTATCGTGAAGCTGTTTCATATTTCCTTCTCTAGCAGCTTTTTCTGCCGTCGTTGCTAGTTCTTCCACGTATTTCTTCTTGTCGGCTCTAATGCTCCTCTTCACTTGTTTGTTTGCTTCTATGTATTCAGCTTGTGCTTGGACTTTCTCTGCTCGTGTTCGGCTGTTGTTAATTGCTGCCTTCTTGTTCTTCCTTTCTTTGATCTTGTCCAGTGTTTCTATAGAGATCCATTCCTTATGATGGTGTTTCTTTAGGCCCAGAACCTCTTGACACGTTGAAGTTAATGCTTCCTTGATGCCTTTCCAGTTGTCCTCCATAGTAGTTTCTTCTTCTTTCAGTAGATCTTGTAAGGCTTGGAACCTGTTGTTGAGAGCTATCTTGAATTCATTGAGTTTGTCAGTATCTCGAAGGAAGGCTGTATTGAACCTTTGTAGTGCTGTTTGTCCACTTGTCCAGTTCTTTTTCAGCTTCAGTTTTAAATTGGCTACAACTAGGTGGTGATCTGAAGCTACGTCAGCACCTCTCCTGGTTCTCACATCTTCCATTGTCCTTCGGAATTTTTTGTTGATGCAAATATGATCTTTGTGTATACGCTTGTGTGGAAATATTGTGCCTCCTATGACCAATTTGTTGAATGCACACAAATTTGCAAATCTTTCTCCATTTTCGTTTCTTTCTCCCAGTCCATGTCGTCCCATAATATCTTCATATCCAGTGTTGTCTATTCCGACTTTGGCATTTAGATCTCCCATCAGAATAGTTAGGTCCTTTCTTGGCCATTTCTCAATGATTGACTGCAGCCGCTCGTAGAACTGATCTTTAATGTCGTCGTTGCTATCATTGGTGGGTGCATAACATTGGATAATATTCATTAAGATCCCCTCCTTCTTTGTTTTGAATGATGCTTTGATGATTCTGGATCCGTGAGACTCCCATCCTACAAGTGCATTTCGTGCTACTTTGGACAGCATAAGAGCGACTCCCTGAGTGTGTGGAGCATTGTCCTCCTCGTGACCGGAGTATAGCAGCATCTCTCCCGTAGCTAGCCTTTTCTGTCCAGCTTGGGTCCAGTGGGTTTCGCTGATTCCCAGTACTGCTAAGTTGTATCTCCTCATTTCCATTGCTATTTGACTGGTCTTCCCGGTTTCCCACATTGTTCGAACGTTCCATGTACCTATAAAAATTTTTGCTCTGGTTGTTAGAAGGGGCATCGGCCTCGTGGCTTCCGAAGGAACTCGGCTTTCACCATGAAGCGTCATAATTCTTCTAACTGAAGACCTTCTAACTCCCAGGGCAGAGTTTAAATGGTTTGGATAATTTTTTCTGGTAAGCGTTTTTTTAGCGAGTTAGTTTTCTACGGGATGGGGACGCTAACCCCATGCCCAACCCTCCTCCTTTACCCGGGCTTGGGACCGGCAGTAACCCTATTAGAGCTACAGGCGGAGTTGCCTAGGATAGAGTTGAAAGGAAAATTCCGGTCGACGATAAATGCTCTCACGAAGGGTAGCAGACTCAGGTAGGCGTATTTTAAATGGCTAAATATAAATTATGTGGGAGATAACTGCATACTTCGTTGCACCGAAGATTGAACACTTATCATCTAATACATTAGTTGAATGTCCTTTTAAATATTTCAGTTTCCACCCCCTAGAACATTTAGTTGATTTTGCCTTCTAAAGTATATGCACTTGATATTAGAGGATGTGTTTTGTTCAGTCAGTCAACATGATTATTTCAGTAAATATACAGATGAAGTCGTCATACAATATCGTTACGTTAACGCTTGTTCATGAAGTTTAGACGCTATGTTTGTTTCGTATCATAATTATTGTAGATACTTGGACTAAACGAAAATCTTACGTTGAGATATGAAGTAAAAACTATATCTCTTACATTCTTACCAACTGTTGTCACAAATAATTAAAACAAAAAGTGCATTAGACTGATCAAAATGTGCTATTCTACTGCGTTTTATATACTTATAGTGACACATAGATCAACTGCATATAGTATCATGTTCAAAGAATTGTTAAACACTTTTGTTTCAATACATTTATGATTTATGCATTCCTGTTTGTTATTCATCATTCAATACCGAGATAGTGGACTATGAAAATCGCTTTAATGTTATTTAGCGAATTGAAACTCAGCAAATATCCACTCACGATAAACCAGTTTTACTTCTCTCAACCATAACAATAGTCAGTCCTATACGTAAAAACGCAAACAGAACCATGGATCATTGAGATTAATTTTAACAGAGGGGAACCAATTGGTTGTCTGATCTATTCCGAATTCACATTAAAAGACCTAATGATTGGTCATTGACCTGAAACACATACTCCTGGGATTATCTAGCACAACTAGTTCCCCTGCACGCTTATATAAGGAAAAACAAGGATCTTATTAAAATGTAGTTATATATAGGGATGGATAGATCTATCCTCATTGTTTGTCGCATCACAAAATACATACATTAGAGAGAGTATTGGATAAACAAAAATATAACTTAGGTAAACTAAAAACCAACATGAGGTATTGGTACATTTTTCCGACTTTTACATATTGCGGGACAGTCAAGTAACGAATTGCTTTATGAGTAAGAAAGCCATACAGATGTCCAAAGCTAGACAAATACATATCATTCCAAGACTGCCTTTTCAGAATGACTCACTTTTTAAGTGATCAAAAAGTTACCTAAACCTGCTTCGTTGCCTCCAAAATCACTTTCCTGTTCACTTAGAAAGTTTGTGTAAATTAGTCCAATGTCATGATCATCACTGTTAACGAATTGAGTTCACTGGATACATATTCAATAGTTTTGGAGCACAAAATACGTTTGCGAATCTACACAGAGTATCGACGACCGATGGTCTCCCCATTATACTACGAACTGACTGACATTAGAAATGCAGACTATCGAGTTCCAGTGATGATTTAAATGTATTTGTTGGAATATTCAGAAAAATATCCCAAAAATCATCCTGTTAAGTCTAATACTATCCTTAGACTTGAAATGGTATCATTTTCCTATTGGTCAATATTTATTTCACGTGTCATTTTCCTGTTGGCCAAATATTGTACAAACGTTATTTCCTATTTCATGGTACGATGTGGTCTTGAAGATGCTACAGGTATTCAGAGTTTGACAACGCTTTAACCAGTAACACCTTCTAATACGAAGCGTAACCACCAAGTGAAATCAAAAGACAGAAGCGAGAAAGCTTGGAGATATATTTGATATGCTATCAATATATCGAGAATCGTCTGATCTAATCTGACTAGCGATTGTAGGGGTTGTTGAGCACGGCGTTCCCACTCGTGATCTGGTGCGGATGCATGACCGAGCGCCTTTAGCTGGGTGAGTCCATTAAAACATGTGGTCAGCATCCAATGTCGAAAACTTACAGAGCTATTTATTTACCGCTACAGTCTGTTTGATTGGTATATAAACTCAGTATGCTTGAAATATAATGATTCACATCGCAGAGGCTGAGACTTGTGCTCTGGACTTAACTGGATGGGTAAGACTAGAAGCAGGGCCAATCAGGACTTTAGACTGCTTATATGGTTTTACACATCATTGATCCGATCGATAAGTCACTACGGTCACAAGTTATAACAGTATTTTATTTGATTCCTTAAATGAAAACGACATTCTTGACGGGACTATTAGATAACCCCTTATAAAATCGACTCTTTCAGTAGATATTCTACAACGAATAGTGCTTTCATATCAACTCTATTTTCTTATAAATAATAAGAATAGTCAATAATATTATGTAATTGATGATTATCTTTTGTTAACATTTTATTGTTGTAAAAATAAATGAACGAATGATAGACTTTATTATTAGCAAATAAAACATTCATTTATTATGTACATAAACATACATGAAATAAGGATAGAAAATAAACAAATCTAAATAAGTACATACAATGTATCATTAAACTGGTAATTATGATTATAAACTATGAAAAATAAGCATAACAATCAATGGTATAACTAAATTATCAATTTGATCAATATATGCTTCAATAAGTACACCGATAAATAAAGGAATAATACCGGTTAACCAATACCATGAATAATAATATGATATTATTGTCCATGCAATCATCTAAATGATGTAACAATATAAAAAAAACGATGATGTATTCAAGAAATGAATCATTTGAACAATTTGATTATATAATTCACTTGTTAACATGTACTTGATATAAAGACTAGAAGGTTTGTACTTCATTGTTAGTATCACCAATTCCAATGCCCCTAAATACCCTGGTATGGCCGAGAGTGGGGTGGGCACGCTCTCCCTCTTGAAATGCTCTCACATGGGTACGCGTATACAACCTCTGGCAGGGAAGTCCTACTCACTGCCTTCTCGTGGAGGGGGTGTTGTTTACGAAAATGGGAGGACGAAAAGAGAATGTCCGGCACTTTAACCGGATTCCAAACCAATGGTGCACATGGGCTCCAGGATCCTGAGGGAATAAATGGTGTATGAACCAATCGCTGGTCATCGGCTACCATGGTACTGCATCTCCTCACGATGCTCTACTGCCTTGTGGGTCAGATCTTTAGGTCAAAGGATTGCGGTGTGGTCTTCTAAGAAAACCACCTGCTTCGATTTAGGCACCCGGGCAGTATCATAGCCCACACACAAATATGATGAAATTTGGGTGGTGCATATATATTTGGTGTCCTCTTGTACCAATATTTATGTGGTCAAATAAAAAATTAAAAAAATATCCTATAGCAACACATTGACACAACTCATTGGATTAACTCTAAAACAGCTTACAGCATATATAACTGGGAAGATTGGAATTATGGATTTCGTAACAGTAAAATCACTTGATGAGACGAATGAAACTGTCTATTACCTAATGTCTATTGTAAAAGATTGTTGTTCTGGAATGAAATTTTTTATTTTACCCAACTTTATACACTAAATTAGAAAAAGATCACTTTTTTTCCGCATAATTGTATCTAATAATTTGGTTGTAAGTGAAAAGAGAGCCAAGCACAAATTTCCTAATCCTATCGATTATTCAGTAAGTTAAACGCAATGCAGAACACAGAACATATGTACGTTGGTTCAAGTTACCATAAAGCCAATTTAGCACAACGAGATGATATTGTCAAGACAAATCTCATCCCCTCATCATCAAATGGCGGACATTTAGAAATTCAGTCTCTTCAAGGTAACAAACTGATAGCAGGAAACAATGATTTAACATCTCAACCTAAATTATTACAAATAATTAGATAACTTTCTAGTGCGTTAGAAATATTTATGAACAATCTGATGACATTAATTTAATGACAGAATAATTCAAATACGAACTCAATATTATTTTATAAACTAAATCAGTTGAACTCATTTGTATTGGTTGTTTGAATCTTCTCATTGATGTTTAGGACTGAAATTAATCAATCTCTTATTGGCAAATGTACATCCTACACGCATTACCTCGATATTGCCATTAAGTCACAAGCACCATAAGCACAGACAAATGATAGTTAGCAGTGATATTTAGGATGCCCATTCGCTTAATTTGGGACTCGTCAGTTGGATGTACCTGCACTCAAGAGTTGAACAGTTGCATTCCTGAACATTAATGGGAAAATTCAAACAACCAATAAAAATGAATTGAACTTCACCTTATTGCACAACCCAACCCCAGTGTCTACCTGGACTTAGTAGCTAAGTAGAAAACTCGATGGCGTTTGATGTGAACAGTGCTGAGCTTGAGTCCCGGAGTGAAAATCAACTACAGAATGCACATCTACCTAGCTAACGATTGCCAAATGGGACGAAACTCGTGTTGCAAATTTGACTGCTAGCCACTTTCCATCTCTGCTGATAGTTATCGATTACTTATTACATGGAGAGCTGGGATAGATTAGTGGGAAGTACTAATTCTAAATGACACCATCATAGTTTTGATTACAAGAAATGCTAAATGTAATTTCTACGACTGAAAGTTATGAAGTTTCTAGACATTCAACAAGTCCGTTGATCTTGACGACTTCGATTAAACGCAGATTTCTTGCACAGAGAAAGTAAAATCAAAATTCCGACTTCGGTTAATATAGTAATTTACTAGTAATGCAAACAATACCTGTATCACGTATACATTCAACAAGAGAAACCAGAATATTCGATGGTGTTGTGAATTCTTGAGAATTTAATTAAATCATTCGACAAATGATTTAATTTGTTTAATCTGGTTAGTGTTTTTACTATGGGATAGGGTTACCAACCCCGTGCCCAACCCTCCTTCTTTACCCGGGCTTGAGGACGGTAGTAACTCTAGAAGAGCTACTGGCGGATATAAGTCATATCCTAAGAATGATGGGTTATGATAATACAACCTAGTCGCATAAACCGAAGTCGAGCGGGGTTTGAACCGAGGAGTTAGTGGCTGAACATTGAGCGCACCATAACGAATAAGCTCCAGGTCCGCTAAATTGGGGCTATCCAGCCACTTTAAGAGAATTGGGTTCCAAGAGCTTTACTGTAGGAAATACCCTCGGTGTGAGAAATAGGCGGACAAAACTTTTCAGGCAAAGGCTACATTCATTAAGCCACGACTCGAGCACAACGCAGCACAGCATACCGGTCAAGTCATCTAGACCGGACTAGGCTGTGGCCGGATTATTAGGACGGAGCCTTTGACCAGTAATCCACGTTAATATACGGGTATACACGCCAGCAGACACTCGCTCAATCCATGACTTAATGTGCTACTATACTAAAGGGTCTGAACACTGAAAGCCTCGAAATGTAGTTCGGGGTCCGGTTTCAGGAGACTTAAAATGACAAATCTACATTGAAACATTTTTGTAGGAAGCATTGGCTCTCACTTTTTCCAGTCGTACCAATGGCACATGGAAGGATTTCTTGACAAATCACAGTAGCGAAATCCTTAGATTATTACGAAAATAATTCAGTGTCAATAATGAGTTAGTGATTAAACTTATTAGTGAGGAGATAAGAATAACGACAATCCAGTGGATCATTCAACAAAATTTCTTAACATTAAATCAATCCATGCCTATATTACTACTATATACACAAACATACATACATACTTGAGAAAAGAATGAAGCGAAAGATCCTAGATATGTTCGATGTGATCCAGGCCAACGACGCTTTCCATAAGTTCGTCCAACTAATGCAGCAAAACTATCGCCTATAGCTATTGATAGAACTCCTGACCATGATGACGGCTTCACATCCAACTCGTAACATAAGTTGCCTGGTTATAAATTTAAAAAAAAAACTTCTTTACGAAATCTATGTATTGACTTAAGCTTATGCGTATAATAATAGATATTTGAATATTAATAACACTTACTTTTAAAAAAAACCCCACAGAATTGATCAAACTATTTAACTGAATGGTTTCATAAACACAGTTACTAAGCTCTAAGTCAGGTTGCCAAAAAAAAATTTTTTTTTAACTACACACTAACAACTAAAGAAACTCATACATAGTTGCTCAGTCATAGTGTTAATGTCATTTTATCAATAGTACAAGTGCAAATGTGCACAGTTTTTCACTGATACTTGATAGTTGAAAGTCATTTCGCTTGTCTTAATTCATGCTATACAGTTCAAACATTAAAATATTTCACTGGTTGAAATCATGAGTAATTGAAGCTAGACCACTGTCGACAACCTGGAAGTACTGGACGGCCGTTTTATCCTATTACGGGACTCGTCAGCAGTGCACATCCACGATCCCGCCCGTGAGATTCGAACCCAGGACTTATCAGTCTCGTGCGCGAACGCTTAAGTTTTAGACCAGTGAGCCGGCACCTAACGGTGTTAATGTCTAACTTCAACCAATTAACGAAATCGTACCACCGTTGACTTAAGTGAGTTACTATCTCACAACAGATACGGTTGAACTCCACTAGTCACGGCTTTTCACCAGAACTCTAGGAAATAATTCTTAGAGACAGTCACTAGTGAGCATATGATGATTATAATCGGACAGGAGTTTTGAAATCCATATGTAGTCACTGATGAACATATTAATATATAATCTTCACAATTCAATTGTATATTTACTAGTAATTAGCATAGCAACTGAAAAAGTGGTCATCGTGTATAGATCTTGTCAGATTATTGCTTTACTAATTGTATATATATTAACTAGTTTGGACAAATTAGAACATTAGTTATGACCACTGGACACGAAATTGTGCTCATGACTGTTAGTTTTCTTTCTGTACGAACATGATAACTTTCGAAACCATTAGTTTAGGATTCGATAATTTACACCCATGAATTCAGTCAATTCGCATTATATAGCGACGTAACGATCATTCAATTCTCCTGAACTTATTCTCCAATGAAACCTAAACCAAAATGTCGGATAAAAATTACGAGTACAGTAGACGTTAGTATTTGAAATGAAATCTCTAATAAAGAATATGCTTCGAAATTCAGAACTTACTCATTAAAGGAAAGGAGAAACGACCGAGTGTTAGATACGATACACTTCGGGTACATGGAAAACTACGGGTAACGTCAGCCTCTAATTGTATTAGTGACATGGTTCAACTCCAACAGGAATCATTTGTCAGTAGAAATTCTGGAATCCATATGGAGCTAGTCACTGATGAACAGATTATTTCTCTGTCATAAGAAAATCTATAAAACTTGCAAACTAAATCGACACTTCACAATTACGATAGTTTTTTAACCACAAGCCCATGAATGATAATGAATTGTGATCTAAAAAACAAAAGAATCAGTCACCACTGAACTACTTCACTAACCTATAAAAATACTAGCCAAATACTACTTTCGTCTATCAGTAGACTCAGTGTTTGATATTTGGTGGTTCAATGTTTGGATTTACACAACAAGGATTGAACTTAGTGTTAGTAATTATGATCTTGTATATTGTTAAAAATAGGAGTTCTAATGTGATTTACAAAGAGTTGAATGTGCTCTATATTTTATTGTTATACTTTTGTAGATAGTTGTCAGTTTTTTTCATAAAGCCTTAAACGCCCTGTTACGGCCGAGGTTGGAGAGAGTCCGCTTTCCCTCTCGAAATACTCTCACATGGCAACGCGTATATAGCCGTTACCAGGGAAGTCCTAATCACTGCTTTCTCGTGGCATCACTGTTGCTTACGAAATTGAGAGGACGAAAAGCGAATATCCAGTGCTTTAACCGGGTTTGTGGACGTGGAGGATCCACGTGGGGGAGTTGGAAAACCCTGATTGCAAACCAATGGTGCACATGGGCTCTAGGATCCTGAGGGGACAAATGACGTGTAAAACTACTGCTCGTCACCGACTACCATGGGACTGCATCTCCTAACATTAATCCATTGCCTTGTAGATTAGACCTTTAGGTCAAAACCTCCAGGTCTGACCCTCTAAGAAAACCACATGCTTCGGTCTGGGCACCCAGGCAGTATCACAGCCCTCACACAAATCAATGATAACTACTATTGGCCTCATTTTATTATGTGAAGCTTATGTATTCGGTGCCCCCGTGTACCAATGTTTGTGTTCAAATAAATAATTCTCTTAAGCAAAATGTTCTATAAAACCGATAAACTTTAATTTACTTACCAATACTAATTATACTCCCATTAGTATTTCTATTTTGTGGCCACCAAACAGGAATACTTAAACCGAGTAAAAGAGCAATCGGTGTGAACAGAATGTCACCAGAATCTCGTTTATCACGAAATGGATTAACCAAAGTACTAAGGTAGGAGGAAAGAGTAGATGGCTACAATTTAGAAATGAAAATTTAAAAACAATTTCTGGTTTAAGTATTACATTGAAAACTTGTTTGAAATTGTGTACAATTACGTCAGCTTATTGCCCAGAGTAACTTATTATGTATCACATTTATAAAGTACAGGTTTATGCAATTGGCCTCGATTCATATTGTTTTTCGTACGGTTAAATGATATTACTCAGTAGATTAAAATGAAGTAGATGTGACCGAGTTCGAATCGTTGACTTACTAACCGAAACCCGAGTACCTTAATATTTAGATGACAATGACATATTAGTAGACTAAGACTAAAATAAAAAGGAAATTTTACTGAAATGATAAAAATCGGATTGATGACTGGATAATTGAGTTAAGTTTAACAGTTAATTAGATAGTCCTATTTTTAAATTACTTAGCACCCTTTATATTTAGACAAGAATAAAATAATCTAGATAGGAAACGAGTGCAATGAAATGTAAATATATTTGTGACTGTCACACAACAGCCGCCTACTTGAGATAAAATGGAACTGGAACAAGGTTAGTAGTCCGGTCTATTAAAACCTCAATTTAATCACCAGATACCTTTTCTAATAACTGAGTCATTTACGTTGTTTGAAACGTCAGCTCGGGGGAATACGATGATATAAATTAATTAATATTTAGAGGAGAAACACTATTATCCTCACAATTCAACTGGGTGAAACACCTAACTGTACTCAACAAAAAGGCTGTTTGTAGTAGTTATGCTTTAAAAGCATACAAATGATAAGCATTACAATCTGAGCAATAGAATTTTAAAAAAACTGAAGATAGAACGAGACAGAAACAGCATTATATATCTCAATGAATACCAGGTACGCGAAAAACTCAAGTTTTTTTTAATATTCACATGGAGAACCACAAGGAATTAGTTAATCCAAGATTTGATTCAGACAGACAACCGGGAAGTGATAACCGCCCTCATACCTCTAACAGCACTCAAGACCACTGACTGATTCAGACAGGTAATATAGCCAAAGAATTGTTATTAAATGTTTTGTACACTAGACCGTGAACATATATTTACTCATTAGCTAAATCCTACCGCAATAATTTGATCTTCAACATGAGTATGCTTTAGTTTTCCCTATAATAGTATCTTAGTGATCATAATAAATAGATATAAACTGTAGTAACATCATACTTTATCACTAATTTAAGAAATTTTCACCGTGATTAAAAAAACCATGAACAACTAATTTTATCAAATGATCACTGACGTACATTTATTGTATTTACGGTTTACGAATAAGCTGAGTGACGGGAGATGTTTTTCTACCAACCAAAGGTCGAGTTTATTATCCAGCAATGCGTTGTCTTTTAATTTATGGATACAAAATATGGTCATTAAGAATAGATTATATTCGTAAGCTACTAATATCCGGTCATAGGTGTCTTCAAAGCATGGTCTGTATATTTTAAGACTACCGAGTGAGTAATACTGAGATTAGGCATAGGGTGCTAGGTAGAAATTGAAATCCGATTAACCAGGTAGTGAATCTTGATCGACTGAGGTGGTTGGGACATGTACTATATATCCCCAACAACCGAGTGCCTCGAAGGGCGGTGCTGTCTGGTGTAGGAGTAGGCTGGGAGAAAGTTAGGAGGGTTAGATCAAAATGTAGCATCAGTTTGTGAGGTCAGTGACAGTTATACTGAATCATGCAGATGGATACAAACTACGTGGTTGGGATCCGCGTTTCAGCCATCACCAGTGGTTGGAGACTTTTGATGACGTGATTTACAGTCGCTTGCAATGGCACAAGTAATTGACTCCTTTTTTCTCTTGGATCCTGAGTCTCAGAATCGTATACTCTCATACTTAATCTCCTCTATTACTATTACTAATACTACTTTTACTACTCTGACACTTGCCTTGATAATTTTCTCTGGTTATGTTGATACGGTGTGACAACTAAAACCGATGCACATATGTATCATGCCCTATGTTGCAGAGGACTGAAGTACTATTCTATACTAATTTCGTAGTTATAGGATAAAGTAGATTTGTTGGTTACTAATACGTATCCTTAGTATATAATATATGTGTTAGTTGTTATAGAACTCAACTAGGTTTAACACAAAAGGTCTGGCATACATTTAAGAATAAAAGGATAGGTGGTCAGTTCATAGTATTACACTAAATTTTGAGGGATAGCTCTGTAAGACTCACGTCTGTTGATTTGTCACGACCCTTTTGAAGAGATTCTAAAAATCACCCAACCTGATGGCCTAAGATTTAAAATAGAAGTCAATGATGACTCTAAGGTTGTTTTCAGTTACACTCCCCCTGAAAATGAAACGAAATCTCGTAAGTCAAAAATGCTTGTCTAAGCCGTCTTTAACTGTAGTGCCTTCCGAACAATATTGATTATATAATCTGTCATCACTTTATTACCTCAAAATATCATTCTAAATTGTGTAATACATCCTTTTAGCGGTGTTATATGAATTTTTCTGTGTTGTTATGCACAGTACATGTTGAAACAAATACGACCACACTAGGAATACCCTGACGGACAATCTTCCTTGGTTGAGTGAACGCCCTGTCTAGAGCCGTGATGGCTTTTGCAAAGGTCTCTATCTGTTAGATATGACTACATCAGAGTAAATTCTACGACTATTCTCTACCGTTTGACTTTGATGCTAAATAGGTAGATAAGTAGGTAACAATCCAGTCTGACAAGACACTACAATGCACTTGACAAACAAGCCCCTGTGTGATTACATTGAGTATCGATCTCAAAACCTACTTGTAATTACAATCATAATCAACGTAGTCCAATAAAAGTATCAACAAACTTACCCCTCGCCTTCGGATCCATTCAAAACACCAAAATACAATAAGTAATGCGACAGACATCAATGAAAGAAGATATGGTGAATAGAGCAAGCCAGATGAATATACAATACCAGCAGCAAAATGAAATAGTTTACGAAGTTGAAACGTTTCTTCTTTGTCATCATATAATAAATCACACGTTGTACGACTATTTCTAATTATATTCATTTTCGCTAAATAATTCATAATATTCACTTTGGTCGGATAGGTTCAATTCATCGGATAATACAATTGAACTATCACAAAATTCTGGTTTAACTGTACTACTATTCATGATCCGATAAATGTTATGATCAGAACAACGATAAACAATAGTAATATAAACACATAGCATAAATAAGCATAGCCAAAATATCAATAAAATGAAATTAGTTGACACAATAAAGCATTCAATTTGATTTATAATGAAACTAGTAGCTATCTTTACACGACAAGCGTAAATCCAAAAGCATCCAGTCAAAATAGTAAGTGTTATTAACACAAAAAAAGCCATTTTCACTGAGAATCTAATAGAATATCGTTCAATTAGAAAGAGTATTAAAAATGGTACTACAAAATTACATTCAGTAAGAAGAAATACTGCAGAAAGTTGAGCAAGTAGCATAGTTTCACCAAACGTAAACGAAAAAGGGAATAGACTTAGTAATTTGTAAGAAAAAAATAAAACAAACATAACTGTAAACAAAGGGCGAATCACCGTACTAACATGGTGAAAATGTTGACAATTCAGCCATATACATATAGGAATGACAGCATGTTTAAAGTGACTATTCTTCGTTAAGAAGAGTACAGTAATTAAAGATAGAAAAAATTCATAAGCGAGTGCTTTATTATCTGTTTTAAGTAATAAAGCAGGGACGATAAGTCCCAACCATAATCCGGAACTAGCATCTTTCTTGAAGTTTTTAACAGACGATGATAAGTCAACATGGTAAACAAACGTTGTACGTATCTAGAGGTGTAAATTACTGTATTTTGGAGCCAGATTTCATTTCTGCGGTGAAGAACACGATAAAATACTTTATCTTAGAGGTTTCAACAAATAATCAACCAGTTAATTTCATTGATAATTTTAATAACATCTCTAAAAGGTTACACTTTGTGCATGGTCTGTTTAGTCAAAAACCTATTCAATTTACAAGACACTCCGTAAAATACAAAGTGTGATAAAGCGACATACTTTTTCGAATCCCTGTGTAATAATTTGACACACTGGTCTTCAAATTTACTAGACCCGGGTGGATTGAAAGATTAAATCTAAGCTCCAGTATGAGTAATTTGAGATGGGTAACTGATTGTAAGACCGAGCATAAACGCATGTTCCTACTATCTACAAACTCCTATAAAAGCGGAAAGCGAAACCATTTATGAGACACCGAAAACATATTGTTTATAAACACTGTATTTTGTGAATTAGTCGTAGTCTCTGGATGCAAAATTATCTAAAAGCTTGAGTCTACTGATAACATCCCAATGCTAAACCTCATACAAGTAGTACTAAGATGTTAAATGTGCAACAGTGCCCTGCTGATTAAAACCACTGTCTTAGAAACCACTAGATTACAGATTCGAACCCTGATCCGTCTTTGTTTGGGTAGCGGGGCGTCACCCCTAGGCTCACATAATATGCCTCAAAGCTGAGTACTGAAGTCTGAAACCAAGAGGCAGCTAGGGACTAAATGCATTTTATCCATTTATTTAAACACATATTGGCACAAGGAGGCACCAAATATATATGCGCCACAAAAATAATTTGATTTATATGAGGGCTGGAATAATACCCAGGCGCCCAAACACAAGCAGGTGGTTTTCTTAGGGAGATATTTTGCCTCGTTGTTGTGAATTATTCTGAGCTGTCATTTAAAGTCTCCGATCGCTGGTGGCGGTTATCATGTGGACTCAAACAAGTAGTTTGCATCTGCCTACATAGTTCAGACGACAGTCTGTGACTCCATAGGCTAATGCCACGTCCTTGTTTGGTCACTCCTATCTTTCTTCCAACCTAATACTGCACCAGCAAGCATTACTCTTTGAGGCAGGCAGTGGTTGGGCCTACGTAACATATGTCCTAACTACCTTAGTCAGTGAAGATTTATAGACCACCGACCAATTTGACACATTTGTCAAACATCAACATTGTTAACTCGGTCGTTCGAAGAAACGCAAGCAATGCTTCAGAGCTCCCATGATCAAAAACCATTCGGCCTACTCATATCTACTTTCATAGACTATCCTTCACAACAATAAAGTAGGATAGGACGAGTTACTGTCCACTATACTTGTCCTTTAATTGGTAGATGGACACTCCACATACACCACAAGTGACACAATTGACCAAAAGTCAACCGAACTTTCCGGATTCGAAACGCCACATCACCAGACACAAACACATCACAACTGACTAGACCACTTAGATAAATGAAGTGGTCAATGAACTAAACTACTTCACAACCTATCATTAGTTTAGGTGTTGGTTTAGACCAGTCCTAAAGCAACATTTTGTATTTAAGAGACAAAACACATTTTAAATGATCTTGCGTTATTGCTCAGAGTGATTAGAAGACCTTGCACTTTGTCAGTGTCTTCACCAAACAGAACTATGTGATCCTTGTGTTCTAAGTCAAGTGAATCATATGGTAGGATATTGAACTTCTGAAAAGGTGGTTGGAGATGTTATTACAACAAAGATCGCATTAATGGCTAAAGTAGGTGAGAATGGGGATAGTGGGTAGCCCTGGCGAACACCAGTTAGGTGTCGTGCTTCGAGTTTATAGGTACATCTAAAAGTTATTACACAGGGAAACCTAAATGATTTGAAGTTTGATAATACCACCTCGCATCACTACCGTTCAACAACCTGACTAACATACAACCTGAGTAACGCTTATAACCCAAATCAGCGCTTTTCAAATGCGAAGTCGCTCTCATGAGTCCAGCAAGTTTGCATGAGCAGACTTCGCTGAACAGAACGACTGAGAATAAACTCCACTCTCGTTCGTAATTTTGACGTCGCACCTGACAATCAATCAAAATGAAGTGGGTGTCATATTTGATTCTATAATGAACCACGAAGACGGGTGTGTTTTGTTCTGCTGTTTTTGCTGGCTTATCAATGTAACAGCAATGTTTGGTGTTTCAGCGTCTCGGTATATTGTAATTTATGTGACGACTAAAAGTATAGCGGCCAATTTAGGTGTTTTGTCGAGCTAAGATATACTTCGTAAAATCCTTATAAGACATGAACTTGTAGCTTTGTTTTTTTTCCATTTCTGGATTTACATTCCTGTAGGTAAATGTCTTTTATCATGCATACTTCTAGATGTAGTTCACCAGGTAGAAACGTCTGTCCCCTGATAAAGATAAAAGCAAATATAGGAGGCATTTTGGCCAAGAGCATATAATTTTTAATGTAATTAACGGTAGCTTATGCGAGTATCAAGTCATTTCTCGTGAATATGAGGTTGGATTAGACAGAATATCGTTAAATCAGGCGGAAAGCAAACACCAACAGCCAACATCCATCGCTAATTTCAAAATATTCCAATCTATGCTTAGACAAAGCGGAAAAGTCTCATAATTAACCCATGGCAGGCGACAAGAAAGACTTTTTGGCGAGTCTATCTCAATTTCTTCCTTATTTCTGTAGTGGGAACTAAATCCCTGAAACAAATAGTCTTGTAAGTCTTCGACATTTGATGCTGACCCCATTATTTTTGATGGGTACATCCAGCTGAAGACACTTGGTCATGCATTCGCAACAGATCACGAGTAGGCATACCTTGCTACGCACTTCTTACAACCGTTACCCAGCTTAGATTAGACGCTTCCCAGAGTATCGATAGTTTTTCAAATACATCCACGAACCTCTTCATTTCTGAATTCTGGTTCGACTGTATTGGTTCACTTCTTTCACAAAAATATGACGTATAAAGGCGTTGCCAAACTCCCAATACTTGTAGCATCTTTATTTCCCTCAGAAATGTTCCCTTCAATTCATTCAGATTTGGATTGATTTCCCCTTCTTCCTTTGCTTCTTTTAAACCATAAGCGTCTCGTAAGACCAGTGAACTGTCATTAGTCCCTAGTCAAATCCTTTGGCAATCAGATGACTGAACATCGGATTTTTTGTCGACCCTCGTCAAGGTCAAGGATAATCAACCCCCACTAATCAGTCGCATGCCATGGAATGGCTACTGCGTTGGTGGCCTCACTCTGTTCCTTGTACCTACTCTTACTAAAATATTTCCGTGATAACGTCATTTGTGTTTTATGGTCGTTATAATAGTCATAGCACCTGCATACCACGGGAGGGTAATCCACGCTAGGTACTAACTGTGAGGTGCGACTCAGACATCAACTGGTTGGTCACTCTATTTTCGCTTAACTCGAGTAGACTCAAATTATTCGACACAAATCATCTGCATTGGTTACCTACATTCGAAAATAAATAAGCCGTTTGCGTTAACACTACTCGTAGTATTTACCAAGGGTTTACTTATATAAAACCACGAAAAATGTAGTTGTTTAAGATGGAATTATCAGTTCCTCATGTTACGGATGTGTCACGTTTAGCGTAGTCAGTCATGAAGGAAGAAGGATCACAACACTGCAAACGCCACACCTTCTATAATAGAAATTGTTCAGAAATATTTGCAGCTAAGTGAATAGATAAAAGAAAACATGACCGAAAACACTGACTACAATAAGTTTAAATGACTTGTTAGTGTTCAGTTTATTTCCAGCCTTGTTTCGCCCATCCCTTCTCGAGTTCAAGGTTAATTTTAAAACTTTTCAGTTCAGGTTTGATTTTGTAAATACTAGGAAATTGAGTAGCCTGGGTTAGTCATCGGAATGGTGGTAACGCAGTTGATACGACTTTCTTTTGCATACGTTGACAAATGAATTGACGAGTACCATTCATGGGACGGTCGATATTTATCTGGCAAAAAATTTTTTGAGCCTGTGAAGTTTTCTGAAGACGAAAATGCCCTACATACACAAGGAGTTGCATTGATGCTGTCCAAACAAGCGAAAAATGCGCTTATGGGATGGGAATCTCATGGATCCAGGATCATCAAAGCGTCCTTCAAAACAAAGAAAGAGCGCATTTCAATGAACGTCATCCAATGCCATGCGCCTACCAACGACTACAATGAAGACGCTAAAGATCAATTCTACAATAGGCTGCAGTCAATCATCGAGAAGTGCCCAACAAAGGACCCGACCATTCTGATGGGAGATTTCAATGCCAAGATTGGAATGGACAACACTGGATATGAAGACATCATGGGACGACACGGACTGGGAGAAAGGTACGAAA